CACGTGCCACAACCGTCTGCAGCAGCTAATGGAGCGCTATCGAGCGGGCGCAGACGGTCCTATGTGCATGCGTGTGGAAAGCGGAGGGGCGAGCGGTCCCCGTGTACGGTTAGCGGCGACATTCGGACGGTGCGGCTCTCCCTATGGGCACGGCCACGGTACCGTATCCGTCGGACAACCGGGCACTAGCAGCTCCCATAAAAAAAATATCAGGAGCAGGCGAGCAGCAGCCTGCCCAGGGCGACACGTGAATTGGAATTGGATGCTGTCAAAGCTCAGTACATGTCACGGAAAGTATATTGCCTGTTTTTTCTTCCTGCTTCTGCTGCTACCGCGACCTACTAGCTGCTGGTCTACGTACCTTCAATTCACGCCGCCAGGAACAGAGAAAAAGAACAAAACACGCACATGGATATGCACTTACACTCATCGTCCGGTAAATCGACGTTTTCATATCTAAAAAATATATATACTTGGACACCATAATAATTTTGATTCTCATGGTACGCCTAAGCCGAAGGTTAATTATATATATACTTGGACACCAAATCTATTATTGTTTCATGCCATGCATACCCTGCGGAAGATACCATGCCATATGAAGAGGATGTCATAATAAGCCTCAAAATATCTTGTAGGTTAATAATATAGCATGGTGCTGTTTTTTCGAATTACAATATAGTGGTGTGGCGGGTTTTCACCTAGAGCGATCTTCTATTGGGCTGGCGACTGTTAGATTGGCTACAGTCCATGTCGTCGACGCAGCTGCGACGCGCCACGCATGCAATGCTTGTGGCTGGCTCACATCCATTGTGACAATCGGTAGAAGGCGGTTCATTGTGGAAGTGGCCTGCGTGGGTATACCTGTGGATTTTATTAGAAACTTGAGGGATGGCAATGTGTGACGGCATTAGCGACACTCTTTGCATGGTGCAAAAACAAGATGTGAATTTGCGTGGTGGATGGTTCCATGAGGATGGAGGAGGTGGACATTGCAAACTGGTGGGGTGGTGATACACATGTACCCGTGACCTCGTCGATTCCACAACGAGCTCCTACCAACAGTGGCTTTATATGCCGTTGTTGTCTTAGCGGCTTGTCTCGCGAGGTAATGGCAAGTTTAGTGTAGGAGGATTCACAGTGGAAAACCTCCTCCACTTTTCCTAGTTTACAAACGTGTTTCCTGAGCGTGCAAGGCGGCGTTTGGAGGGCGTTACTTTGGTGGTTTCATCAGTGTTGTGTGTTTCTTTGTAGTTTCTCTATCAATATATGCTCAGAATGCTCTTGTTGATGGATTTTGGAGAAACAAATAAACAACAACTAATTCACTGGACGTATACCAGCAACACACGTGAGGGGGATCGGATTAGATGCCATGATTCACCAGCAGATGAGATGCTCGATATCATCTTGGATTGAGTTTTCAGTATTCCCCGGCCAGTCTGTTGGAGCCTGCTGCCACCAAAGCTAAGTGCATGTCACGGAAAGTATTGCCTGCCTTTTTCGATATGATCTTGAGATCTTCCCTGTTGCTGCAGCTATCTAGGAAGTACCTAGCTAGCTGGTACGCACACGCCTTCAATCCACACCGCCATTGCCAGCTCCAGGACCGAAGAAAGGTAACAAAACATGCACGCACACGAAAATGTACATGCACGTACCTAATAACCAGCAACGAGATGCCACATGCATATGGAAAAGAAATTAAACAAAAGCTGGTGCTACAATACTCCAATAACCTAAAAAGAGAGTTAACTTCAATTGATAGATTTAGTTCAAAATACTCTCTAGCTATGAATCTAGACAATAGCTAAAGTGTCAGATATTTTTAGGACAGAGGGAATAATGGTAGTTCTCACCAATTATATACTGGTCTTTTTTGGTTGAGTCAGGTCTAAGGCTTGGTTTGCTGTGGGCTCCAGTGGACTTAGGTATGAGGGGACACATATTTTTTAGTGTAGCGAGACAGGTCGGATTCGTTACGCATTCTAACATCAATCTATCAACAATCTCCACCATCTAATCTTCATCCAGCAATCCATGGATCTCACTGTTCCTCCTATTTCAACTGATGCCTTTTTTTTGTTATTTCTTACTACACCACTTCTCTTTGCCCTCCTATTTTCAGCCACCCTAATCATCTTGTTTTGATGTCCTCTCATCCTTGACATGATCGACACAACCACCTGTCTCCTCCACCATTTGTGGCCATTGACCAGCGACACCCTGCCTTCTTCATCTAGCCACTCGCCTGCCTCCTTGGAGATCTTTGAAGCCAGGGAGCAGACTATAGCTCTGAGAAGCCCTTCCAAATGACCCATAGAGATCTCATTGGCGGCACTCAAAGCTCGTCCACTGAAAATGTCTTTGTTTTAAGTCAAAAAAATGAACCATGTGGAAAAAACCACAAGGGGTTGATTTATGGATAGGATGGGAGGATAGGGTGATTGTTGACCAATGTAGATCCCATTTAATGCATATAATCAAGATTATGTTGCTAGTACTCCTCTTATCTCAGGGTGTCATCTGGTTCTCAAACGAATTAAGGACTTGGTGCACAACAAGGCAGAAGCTAATAATTTTGCTTGCACACGGTGAGATCCGGACACTTCTTTGAGAGTAACCTAGGGCATATAGCGTACTCCCTGGTCTAATTAGTTACCTCTATCTCTCATAGATATATGCTGATTGTTGTTGCCTTGTACTAGGATTTTAAAAAGTCTTTTGAACTTTTTTGACCACCACAAAATATGTCATCATCAGTTGATACAAATGGATTGCCCTTGTATTGGATAGCAATGTGAAATTTGAATATTTTGATACAACTTTTTCATATTGACACTGTGGGGGTATGGCTCCCCGGTATTCACAAGACAAGACATGGGCCGCACCCTCAGAGGTGGCCCAGCCCACAAGATCAAGGCATGCACGACACTGGTCGACGTGCACCGCAAGATATTGTATAGTACCAAATAGGATACTTTCCTTGTAATTCTACCCCTCCAGAATATATAAGGAGAGACAGGGGTCCCCTAGTGGACATCGATCTACATGGTCATCCAGATCAATACAATACATCAAAGACACATGACGTAGGGTATTACGTCGATCGACGGTCCGAACTCGCCTAAATCATTGTCTCTACGCCTTGTGTCACCATCCGGTTCTGATTACGCCAAGCACCTCCACCGATCAATCTACCTTCGTGGATACCCTCGAAGGACCTGCGAGCATCTTTTGTCGATGATACCACGATATGTATAAATTATTTTGACTAATTGTTGATAAAAATCAATTACTCCTATGAAGTCTGGCTTTTCGGAATCCCAATACACACCTTATATTTTGAGAGGGGGCAGTGCTTAATTAATTAATCTAGTAGAAGTCCAGCCGTGGCTCTTTAATAATTATTAGAATTAATAATATACTTTTTTGCGGATTAACAATAATGATTTACTTGGTTTTGAAGGAACCAAGAACCAAACCAAGAAATGGATGCATGCATCACTAGGCTACACTACACATATGTAATACCAGGGGCCGGTATACGTAGCAGCTATAGCTTCCAATTGTCTTTCTTGGTTGTAATTGCAGCCCTAGCTGTGTTGTGTGTGATGTGAACATAGTTCTTGTGCTCTGGATGGGTGTGGCTGGAATTGGAATTGGAATGGCTGGCAACTTTGCCCGCTTCACCATCCACTGCCACCGTACTACCTTTATTAATGCCGCAAGCTAAGCGAGCTCAAAAGGAAACGTACACCACTTGAAACAACAAAGCTCTTCATAAAAGCTACTCGCTATTTTAGCATCCCAAACGGCAGCTGCTGATTCACTCGCACCAATCAAACTGCAAACACCAAAAAAAAAAAAAAACCTCTTTTTTTTTCTTTGAAAAAAAACGCATGCATGTTGTATTTATCGCCTATATATCTTCACCGACAATTAATGGATCATCTAATTAATCCAAGGGCAATATACATATAGCTGTTTTCTTTATTTATAATTTATATATAATAAAATGCTACTGATTATTATTATTCACCTAAAGCTAGTTCGACTGATGACATATATACTTTTCATACCACTTATCCTATATTCTGACTTTGTTGCTGTTGTTCAAACAACATGTAATTTTGTCATTGTTTGACTAGAAAAAATTATGACTTACCTTTTGTTAGTTGTTTTTTTAATTGTCTCCAAATTCAAGTACCTCAAATATAACAACTCCCTTTTTTATACATAGGCATATATACAAGGCCCACATGTGTATGTATGTATGTATGTATGCATGCATGTATATACGTTATGAATTATATATTTTGGCACCGAAAAGTACAGAACTATTGCGAAAAAGGTGGATTTGATAGTAGCAGGCCACAACATTGCACCCACTCCTGCCCCTCCTCCCCTCAATTTCAAGTTGGGAGAACAGTGGTGGCATGGCATTGTCACCACCCTTTTGCTTTCATCACATTTCAGGCAACACCCACCACTCACTGCTCACTACTCTCTACTCTACTCACTCCCACACACGCACACTCACTACTACTCCAACCAAGTGGCTGCCAAACTTTTTTCTTTCAATTCAAAGCAAATGGAACAATAATCTCAATATATATGTATATATATTTTGACAATTAATCTCATCCATCTCCAGTAGTACAGTATATATTTAAATGTTAATTGCGACATACATACAGTACATATATATATGGTGGTTTGTGTTACACCAAAGAATTGAAAGGATCAATTTTGTATATATGTTATATAGCTTCATTGATATACATAATTTATATATATGTCAATATGCAAGTATAACTGAGGATGCATGGTAGACTTATGATCCCCAAGGAGAAGAAGAAATTAAGGAGAAAGAAAAAAAAGAAAGAGATCAATCAGTGTTTGTTAATAAGTAAAAGAATTCATGAGGCTGGCTCTGGCTGGCTGCTAGCTAGGCCAGGCATGCAGATGCAGGGCCAGCGGCGGCGGCGCTCATGTCGTCAATAATGGCAATCCACCAGTGCTGAGGCTGTCAGCATGAGCCCGGTCTTCTTGCCGTCGTTGAACTGGCCGAGACCGAGCATGACGGCCGCCGGCGGTGGCGGCGGAAGAAGCGACACGACGGCGGCTTCCTCGTCGGACGGCGCCGGCAGGTTGAGGTCCAGCTCCAGGTTGATGCCCGCGCTGCTTTCCTTCTTGCTGTTGCTGTTCCCGGTAGTGTCCGCGGCGACGATCGCCGTGGTGACCGCGCGGTCCGGCGCGTTGAGCGGGCGGTGGCGCCGCATGTGGCCGCCCAGCGCCTGCCCCGACGCGAACTCGGCGCCGCATATGGAGCACTCGTGGACCCTCAGCTTGCCGCTCGCGGCAGCAGCGGCGACGCTGCTGAGGCTGAGCGCGGTGGTGACGGTGACGTCCGGGAAGGCGGCGGACGTGGCGGCGGCGATGTCGATCGCCGCCGTCTGGAGAGGACGCGGCTGAGGCTGACGCTGAACAGCTAGGGGAGGTGCGGACGGCAACACGGTCGTCGTCGTCGTCGCCATCGGTGGCGCCTTCGTTGCTGTGGTGGTGGTGGTGCCGTCGACGTTGACGGCGGCGGCGATGTCGCCATCGGTGGCGGCAGCAGCGAGGCGCGGCTTCTTGTGGCTGGCGCGGTGGCCACCGAGCGCCTGGAAGGTGGGGAAGCACTTGTTGCAGGTCTTGCACTCGTAGACGTAGAAGCCGGCCCTGACGCCGTCCGGCGTGGCGGCCGCCTCCGTGTACTTGCGGCTGGTGTACCTCTCGGCCCTCGGCGGCGCGGGCGGGGCGGCGCCTGGTTCTGGTGTGGCGCCGTGGGCGGCGTGGACGACGACGGCAGCAGCGCCGGCGATGACGACGGCGATGGCTTGAGTCGACGACGGAGGCGCCCGCAGCGCCCTGGGCGAGGAGGATGAGGCAGTGCGCCATGTCCTCCTCCTCGGTGGTGGTGCTCTCGGACGATGACACGGACGCTGACGCGGAGGAGGAGGCCGCGGCGGGCGGGTGGTGGCGCGGCCTCTTGGTGCGCTGCTTGCGCTTGACGGCGGCGGCGAGGGGCTGGTGGGCGTGGCTGTCGTCCACCTGCACCAGGTCGGCGGTGGAGTGGTCGTCCGTGGACGAGGAGGTGGGCGTCGTCGTCGTCATGAGAAGGGTGAGCGCCGCCGTCTTGGTGTTGGTGGTCTTCTTCGTTTGGGCCACCAGCTCCGACGATGTTTGCATGCCGGGGAAGCAAGAAAGGTAGAGAGGTGCAAGGTGGGGTGGGGAAGCAAGAAAGGCTCCTGCCTCTAGGAGTAGAAGAGTAGGAAGGACTAGGAGGAGGAGGAGGCTGCCGTTTTATTGGAAGGGAAGAGGAGAAGAATAAGAGAGGGCGTTTTGCTTTTGCATGGGGGCTTATTGCTCCATGAGTTAGTCCATGGATGGGGAATGGGAATGGGATCCACTATGTACATACCACTAGTACAACACAACACTGAATGCCAGTAGCTGCAGATGCAATCAATGGAAAGGATGGAAGTTTCCTTTGGTTTATTATTAATACTACAATACACCACCATCAAGCAAGCTGCTAGCTAGGCTGATAGAGAGAGAAAACTAGAGAGAGAAGAGTGCTCTGGCCGGCTTTCAACTCTCTCTCTCTCTCTCTGCCGGTCTCTCCTGGATGCCTTGCCTTGCCAACTCTCTTTCTCTGTCTCTTATAGCCTCTTCCTTGTTGGAGAGAGAGAGAGAGAGAGAGAGAGAGAGAGAGAGAGCAGCAATAGTAATAGTGAATTGGTGGCCAAGGGAGACGCACGTACGCTACCAATTAAGTGTGATTGAGAAAACTAGAGGTGTGTTAAACCTGGCTGCCTAGTATAACTTGTGGACAGTTTAATGGCCATGCGTCTCCTAATTCCTCCCCTGCCTCCTGCCTAAATGTGTAAAACATGCATGCATGTGTTTTTGCTACTTACTCATAGATGGATAGCTTGTATCGGTTCAACAGCTACTAGCAGCTAACCTTAATTAAGCCACCAGCAGGACATGCATCTCTCCCCAATTTCTAGCTAGTACTAGTGGTATATATAGCCTTAATTTCATATTTTAGTGTGCGGGCTAGGATTAATGCTGTGACAGTGAGCACTCCATTACTTAGTTAACCTGAAGGGGCATCTATCACCACTATAGCTGAATAATGAATGAAGAAATTATCAACCCCCCATACCCCCCCAAAAAAAAAAAAAAGAATGAAGAAATAAATTGAAGAAGACTTATTGTTTGTGTTAATTTGGATTGCTTGTTACTCTACTCCAATTTGCATTGGTACATATGCAGGTGTGGGTGTGAGAAGAGAAAGGGATCTAAGCAGGAGTGGGGAGTGAGTAATAGTATAGCATTCAGCATTTCAGCAGCTAGCCAGGAAAGAAAGCAAGGTGTCCAACTCCATGTCCATGCAAATATTTTCTTTTGTGATGATGAATGATTCCTTTCCTGGTGTGATAGTGTCACCCTGCAAGGCTGGAGCCACAGGAAAAATGCGCTCTCATCTCCCTGCTATTTTGTCACATATATGCTCCTTTATTGGCGGTTCAGTTATTTCCAGAAATAAAAAAAAAACTAAATAACACCACCTGGTAATAATATGTATATACTGCTAGCTAGGAACATCTTAACCAATACAGTTGTCTTTGTTGTAATTAGCATGCAATTCCCCATTATTAATAATTAATTAAAAGCCTTTTCTTCTTCCTTTTGTGAGCTGATTATTATTGATGCTGATGAACAGCTAGCTTGCTTGGCAGTTGGCAACTAATACTAGTAGCTAAATAAAGAGGTAGTGAGGCAGTGGTGGTGCAGGTGTCCCTGCCTAGTGCTAGTGGTGGCTGCTGGCCTCTGGCAGTACTAGCAGGCCAGCCAAACAAAAATAATATGCCTGCACTGCAATTTGCTTGCTTGTTCACTCACTCACCTCTATCTCATCAGCAGCAACGCAACTCCAACTCATCTGAACCTGCAACCAATGCAAACGTTTTGTTCAGTTCAGATCGCCTGTCCTTTGCACTGCAACTGCAGCTGCACTGACTTGCATTGCATCGCCTAATCCTAGCTAATAACAGTCACTTGCTTTCTAAGCTAAGCCAACCAAAATCCAGCCCTACCATCCCTGTGCATGCATTTCATTCAGTTCGTGCAGCAGTGCCACTTCCATCTTTTTCTCTCTCCAAACGTTCGTTACTGATCGATGCTAATTAATAATTGTTAGTTAGTGGTTGCATTTTTATTTTTATTTTAAATTCGGTCTTTATATTTTACAAAAATCAGGCGGACTTTCTTGTGTTTGGTGAGCTTTATATATATGCAGTAGATAGATAGCTGCTGTGGCTACACTGTCTCAATCAAATGAGCTAGTGTCATCGATCATCTTCAGATTAAGAGCGAGATATATTGGGTCACACTCACAACTATCAACCACTGCTCTCATAACTGCGTCAAAATGTCCAACTAGTAAAATTTTTGTATCTGTTAGTAAATTTTTTTGAGGAATTAATGGAATTATTGTTCATTATTTATCGTCCAATCTCAATCGTAGTAGTTGATGCAATCTTTGCATAAAGAAATTAATCATTTTCTTTTGAAGAAAATGAATTAATTAAAATGACATATATGTAAGAATAAGCATTCTCTGCAAAGAGGAAATTATGGAAGTCCTTGCATGGTATGTATGTACTGTGGTGACTTGTGAGTTGTGACTAGCTTAACTGTGTGAGGGAGAAGTCAACCTAACGGTTACATGAATATGAAGAGAAATGAGAAGGTAGGAGGACGCATGATTCTTGACGTGAGGATCAATGGGAATTGTTATATATTTGCATTGCTGTGTGGGGCAAGGGCAATACATCCTAATTAAGCTAGCTAGTTTATTTAGAATAGAAAAATAAAATTCAACAAACAACAGTAGTGATTGGATGCCACACATGGCCGGCGAGGTGGGGGCAAGCAAGTAAGGCATCCATCCAACCATCCATCACATGGAAAGGAAAGCTATAGCTGCCCTTGCTAAGTTGCATGCCACTTAATCATCTGCTACACCCTACTAGTATACCTTAGCTAGATCTTCTCTCACTCAATTGGCCAAACATGCACACACATGACACATGTACACTCACTTGGACTGCAATAATAATCCAAAGCTATTTATCTAGCTAGTGTGCACATGCCTTTCCTTGCCAAAACTAAATAAAAAAAGGGTGAGTGTCCTTGCATTGAGCTAGCTAGCTTGCCATGATCCTGCCTATGATTGGCAATCAGCTGAGTTGTCCCTCATGTGGAGAACCCTAGCTTTAAGGATCCTATATATGATTATCTGCTAGCTAGCTAGTGCATCCGATCCATCTCTCCTAGCAGCCAGAACATGCATACGCTGATAATGCAATGCACTCTTGCTTTGTATGAGTGTGATCAGTGTATGCTAGATTCATTATGAACCCAAAAAGTAAACTAATAAAATAGATACGAGTTTAAGAATAAGAAATGCTTTTATTTGTGCTACAATCAACCAGATCGATCCCTCCAGTAGGCCACCAGTACTAGACCAAGTACATGCCAAGGCACCATCTCTCAGCTCCACATTATTATTAAAACAAAAAAAGTATGATGTCATTGCCTTATCAGTCGAGTTATCTTTCTTACCCATGGCATCAGGCCATGGATATAGATAGAGTTGAAAGTGTGTGCAGTGTGCTACTCCACTCAACAAGATAGCTTTAACAGCAGCCAACATCTGGCCAACCGCCCCTCGGTTTGCAAACTTTTCCTCAGTAGTAGCTTATTGAGTTAGATACAAAAACAATGCTAGCACATAGCTAGCCAGGTACATACACATCTTAATCTTAGAAATTCTCACGAGACATGCTAGGAAAAAAAAGATAAGTTCTAAAAAATCTCATAATAATTAAAAACATATCGCATTTAATTTGGTAGACTCACAATCATAACCAACAATAGCCATTGGATCCCTTTTGTTTCAAAAAAAAATTACCCACCTTTGTCATTGTGAAAAAAAAACATATATTTGGTTAAAAAACATTTTTTACTAAATTCACACAGATGGAACGAATTTGACGTATCGCAGTGTGTTCTGATCTCTTTACTGGAGAAAAGAAAAGGAGAACAAATTTAGGAAGCAATTGGCAGATGAATTAAGCTAGCACCAACTTTGTAATGAAACAGGATTTACATGAGTTGGCAGATTGGATTATTGATTGGTGTTGGGAGAGAACATGTGGCGCAGTTGAAGGACACCAACCGTACCCAGCCCACCTGCATCTGACTCTATTTCTGCATACAAGTGGATCGAAGTGGTGGCCTGCATTTGATTTTCTACATTTCATCATCCAACTCTAACTGAATTAGTGGGACACTCGATCACTGCTAGTGCCAACTCTCATATATAGTTTGCTGGGAGATCAGCACTCATAGTCTAGTGAGTGAGTGGGCCACCACTCCTCAACTCAAATCATACTCATACCAAATTAATTATATTTTCTCTTTATTACAAAATAGAAATCCAACCAGAATTGTTGTTTGCCTGGCGCTTTTAACTTTCACCATCATCGTCATCCAGGCATGAGTTTTGCTGTGGTACCCTCAAATGACTATGAACTGTTCATTTAACGAGAACGGATGGTTAGGATCATCTATTATTTCTTAGAAGGTAATAGTTAAAATATATATTTATTTAATTTTTAATTTGGTAAGATAGGATAAATAAGGAAAGTTTTATGTATAAAAATCTTTCTTCCAGATCTAACTGATATTGCGTGATTTGTTTGATATGATAAATCTTTTTATTTTCTAACTTTGAACATGACACATGCGTGATATAATTTGATTAGCATGTAGCTTTTCATTCACCTGTACGTGACAGCTGCAAGTTGTAGTGTGTTTGATTCCCAACGTTCATTAGCATACGTGTAACATGTTTTAATTTAGAAGGTGCTGCACTATAGGAGGACAACCAAATTGCATACAAGAAAACGGAAGCCAGGTGCTTTTGTTGTCACGTAGGTGTAACATGTTTTAACATTCACTATAATAATGTACGTGATACACAAACGTGGCGTGCACACCAAAAAGAGGCCAGGCCACTGGATCGCTTCTATGTAATTACGGAGGGAAAGTTCCCCCACTTCTTTTGTTGTTCTAGTGATTAGGGGATTTCAGAAGATTTTTCTTTTTTTTTT